AGAGGCAGGTTGGGGAGTGGGATGGGTGTGGAAATGCGGGGAGAGCTGCGGGTTGGGAAGAGATGGGGGAGAAGAGACGTACTGTAGAGAAGGGCGCGACGGAGGGTGTTTCTAGCTGCCATTGTGGATGGGAGGAGAGTGCTCAGTTGGGAATATGATAGTGAGTGGCTATCGCACTGAATTGCAATGTCTCCGGTGGATTGAGGAAATGGAGATATCGGATGAAGCTGCAGCGGTTGCGGATTGACCCGCAACTTTAAGAGATCCTCGGTTTGCGCATAAAGGCTTCTCCAGTCAGGAACCGGCCGATGACCTCATCCGGCAGGTGTCGCGACTCGCGCGTATTTTAGTTCGTTCCATTGACACTTGCACCATTCCCTTGTAGTGAATATTGGGTTTACACCCTTAGCAAGCGCTCAACTCGGGCAATATAAATGAACCCGTGTGCCGATCGCGCATGAAACAGAGGGAAGTCGGAGAAACAAGATGAAAAGAGTGTCAAGTAACCGTCTACCGCTCCACATTCTGCCGGGCCCCACCGCCCCCTGGCTGGAGACACGCAGCATCAACGCAATCCCGCCTCGCATGATCTGGACTCGTCAGGAGGCTGCTTGACTGCCGTCTATCTCATGTGCATTGGACTGTTATCAGAAGTAACTGCTTCGTCTTGATACTGCACGCTCTCCGTTATCATGGAACAGCAACCGCTCCAGCCGCAGCAGGGCGAACTGAACTGGCGCCTCAGTGCTCATCCGATTACCCTCCTGTTCTTCCTGGGCTTTCGCATCGGCGCCCTACTGATGTACCTCTTCGGCGTGCTCTTTATCAAGAACTTGTGCGTAAATCCCTTTCACACTCAAATTCATGATCATAACTCTTTCATATTTCAATTCCGGAACCTTCCAAAGCTGCACAATCTAGATCCAAGCAACCAACCCAGCTAACCACCGCAACCATCAGTGTCCTCGTCTTCATCATCACCCTCCTCATCCTCTCCGCCGACTTCTACTACCTCAAAAACATTGCCGGTCGTCGCCTGGTCGGTCTCCGCTGGTGGAACGAAGTCAACACTTCCTCCGGCGACTCCACTTGGGTCTTCGAGTCCTCCGATCCCACTACCCGCACTATCACTGCCACGGACAAGCGTTTCTTCTGGCTGAGTCTGTACGTGACGCCTGCGCTGTGGATCGGTCTTGCCATTCTGGCCATTATCCGTCTGAGCAGTGTGATTTGGTTGAGTCTTGTTGGTGAGTTTATCCCTACACCTCCCCTTTCAGCAGGTGTATAAGGAGTGTGGAATACTAACTGGGCACAGCCATTGCTCTCGCTCTGACCATCACCAACACTGTTGCGTTCTCCCGGTGCGATCGCTTCAGTCAGGCTTCGACATTCGCGAATAGTGCGCTTTCGGGTGGGGTTATGAGCAACCTTGCGGGAGGTCTGCTGGGCAGGCTTTTCAAGTAGGGTGTATGCCTCTAAATAAGGTTATGCTGGGATTCATACGGGCTGTGGATCTTGGGTGGTCTGTTTTTTCGTCTTTGATTTGTTCTTTTGAGTCGGATTGATGAGTGTAGTGGGTTTGTCCGGGGAAGAAGGAGTAGGTTGGCCTAGGGGAGAGGAGCTTTTGTTTTGTCGGTTATACTCTACTAGCGTTATGGGTTAGATTTTATTGTATCATTTGTTACTGCTGGTATGTTCAAGATAGTCTCACAAAAGATATCTGATCAGATGTAGAGTCTACTTATCCCCCGTACACTGGGGGTGTATAGTTCAAACTTCAATAGAACTATCAGTCGCTGAACAATAAGGTCAGCTTTGTCTGCCGAATTCCACTGTAAGACTTAAAGAAAGCGTTATCATATTCCATTATCCAGCTGACGGTATACTATAGGGTACGTGCGTCCTCAACAGTCAACTACGCACGATAGATTATCATCCAACAAACTGTACATTCATTGCACTCCTCCGCTCCAGGAACCGTCAAGCTCATAACGACCATCCGCCCTGACGGAACATGAATCCAGTCGGATCATATGCCTTGGCGATGCTTGCCAGTCGCTCCTTGTTCGTAGGTCCATAACTGCCATACACATCCTGGTAGTCGGCGGCATCGTTCATGAACAGAGGGTTAGAGCTACACTTGTCAGTATACTGTATGAATAAACCTGAGAAATGAGACTTACGAGATCCAATTAACATCACCCGACTGATAGTGCGTCGGCTTAGTTCCCAACAGCGTGTTATTAAACGCCTCCTTCACAGTATCCGCAACCTCGCGCAAGTACTCAGGACAAGCATCATTGCAAACCGGGTTGACCCAGATCAAGTCATTCTCGACCCAGACACGATCACCGTACGCAGGGTCCAATCCGAGAGCATTACCACCAGCGTTCTTAGAAGCACGAGCAATACGCACTGACAGCGGCTGCGGGGTAAAGGTACCGAGCTGAAAGTCCAAGTTCCGGGAGGAATCATTCTTGATCATAGACTGGTACGTAGTCCAATGGGTCTCAAACAGCTGGGTCATCTGCTGGGACGGCATGTTGGGGAAGGTATTGACGTGAATGGCGGCGTTGATGCCGTAGATCTTGGCTCCGCCTACCGCGTTCGTTAGATCGGTGTAGGTTGTGGTTTCAGTAGAGTCAATGAAGGATTCAATATCTTCAAGTCCGGCAAAGGCGTTGGCGCTGGGCTTGGCTCCGTCGTAGAAGAAGAAAATACCGGGGTTGGAGACCAGGGCTCCGGGCAGGCCAAAGTCGAATGTCGGGATGATGGCGGCTTTGGCGTCTGGGTACTCGCTGGTGAAGTTGGAGAGCGCTTCAAATATTTGCTCGCGTTTGTCGGCAGTATAGGAGCGAATGCCACCCCAGACTTGTCCGTTGTCGCCGAGTGGATGGGCCTTGAGTGTGAACTTGGTGACAATGCCAAAGCGGTTGCCACCGCCGCGCAAGGCCCACCAGAGATCTGGGTTGGAGGTGCTGTTTGCGTTGGTTATGGTGCCATTGCCTAGGACTACTTCGAAGTTGACGACGTTGTCGCATGCTAGACCCTGAGTTGGGTTAGTGCTGGGATGTTTTTTGGGGGGCAGAGGGGGGATGGGGGTGAGGTAGTACATATTGAGCTGAGTAGTATGACAGTCCTCCTCCAGTCGTGAGCCCTGCCACGCCAATATTGGCCAATCGGCCACTTACCACAACTTGGTTTGTCTTCTGCGTGATGGCGTAGACATCACCCCATCGTGCTCCCGGACCGATGTCGAAGCTCTGACCGTCCGAGTTGCGGGTGGTTGAGGACATATTCTCGTTGAACGAGATAAGGACGCCTCCATTGGTACTGGAAAACCCCACATTGAAGTTGTGTCCACCTGCTTTAAGTGCAAAGGGTGCTGTGGGATACTCATTCAGCTGCTGAACTGCAACGGAGACCTGTTGCGCCGTTGCAGGGAAGAAGGCGCAGGCTGGACGGTTGTCAGCGTTCACACCGTTCCAGTACTCCTTGACTGCATTGCTGTAGTAGGACTGGTTCCAGAATGTCTCAGTTGCGTAGGTGCCTGTGGGGTCCCAGACGGTGTATTGGGGGTAAACCGTGTGTAGGTGTTGGCAAACGGACACAGCGTCGGTGTTAGGTGCAGCCAGAACAGGGGCCACTGCGGCCAGAAGAAGAGCAGCTGCTATCATCTTGAACTTGAATAGCTTTGGCTTGGGCCATGTCTGGTACAACGAGGTCTTTTGGCCATCTTAAATGCGAGGCTCAGGGGGTCCATGCTGAACGGAATTTGTATCATCTGCTGCAATGAATCCTCAAAAAAGGGCAATATTTCGTGTCGTATTTGCGTATTTGCAATGTTAGATTCTGGATCGGCACGAACGTTGGGACTAAAATAGGCTATTTGATGATCCATCGGGCGGAGGATACTCTTCAGGGACTGTCAACTCATCAGAACGGAGGGGGATCTGCACAAAACCTCGAAGCGAAGTCTCAACTTTGGGATTGACCGAGGATGCACGTGTCTTCCCCGCTGCACCGTGATTCTAATGATTCAGTACGGAGTACCCTCTCTTCGGTAGTTTGAGGAGGTTTGAGAAGTCTCTTAAGGGGTAAATCGAGAGCAAGTATAGAACATATCGTGGCTTACGCTATTTCCATGTTGTCAGCTGGATTTCGTCTCTCCCGCTGAGGATACGTCAGATTAGCACTGATTTATTGGGCCGAGGATATCCTATCCTTCTTGACAAGTTATTGAACATCTGAAAATTTCTCATAGCCCGGCTTGCATTGGGTGGTTTTCTTTTTCGATGCTTAACCCTCCATAGCACTGTGACAAATATCTCATGTTATAGCCAATCCAAAGGGTCTCATGAAATGTGACAGAGCAAAGTGTCAAAACTCACATATATTTCCGCCACGATGAAGGAAGAAGAGGTGTAACATTTTATGTCAAATACTGGATGCAAGGGGTGTCCCACTCAAAAGTTGAAGCTACAGGGCACGGCTCGGGTAGGGTTTGATGCATCCGCAGTGCTGCAGTGACAGGGCAGCAGAAACGTGGTGATTACTTCAGCTCTCCGTAGAGCTAACGACACAACAACTTGTTTTCATGACAGATCTTCTGGATAATATTGACAATGAAACTATGGATTTTCCTTGGAAAGCACATCTCTCGGCTACTCGATATCCTTAATAGTTTCAGCTCTATCGATATAGATGATTTCTCAGGAAGAGAAATTCGGCGTCGCGTTGAAGAGTCACTGAAAACCAGGTATTTAAGCATCGCATGGTTGCCAAACCAGATATGGTATCTGGATCCCATAATCTGCCACGGGCAATTTTCTACATTCGCTGAGTATGAGTTAATGATCGATAACAGGACGGTTCTTCTCTGGCCTCCACTCTGGATCACTAGCCTCAAAACATACAAGCGCTTATCTCTTAGTCACCTAATCTTGGCTAGTTTATCGATTTGACTACAGGCGAACTGGAACCTGAAATTATCAACTTCACGAAGTCCAATTGTCATCTACAAACTACGCACAAGTCATATTTCTCAGTCACTATCGCGTAATTTGAGATGTCACAGAATACGCCACCCACAGTACAGGAGCTGCGCCTGGGCACCCGCAATTCCAAACTGGCATTAGTACAAGCAGAGCATGTCTCCAAGGAATTGACCCGTGCTCACCCCGTTGTCCAGTTTCCCTGGCAAACCGTGGTGGTGCGCGGCGATGCTGATAAGAGCAGTCCTTTCTTGAAGTTTGCAGGGCCATCTGATGCAGCAAAGAACATTTGGACCGAAGAAATGGAAACCAAGCTGTGCGCAGGAGAGTTGGACCTCCTCGTGCATTGCCTCAAAGATATGCCGACGCGCCTACCAGAGAACTGCACACTGGGTGCTATTGTTTATCGGGAGGATCCCACTGATGCGTTGGTGATGAAGGAGGGGCTGCGGTCGCAGTATACGGATTTGAGTCAATTGCCCCCCGGCTCCGTGGTGGGCACTAGTTCCACTAGACGGAAAGCCCTACTTCGATACAGATACCCACACTTGAAAGTGGAGGAATGCCGTGGCAATCTGTAAGAAAACAGCCCCTTACTGTCCCTAATACTCGACATTCTTCTAACTTGGCATGGCAGCGGAACGCGACTGAGAAAGCTAGATGACCCAGAAGGTCCATTTTCGGCAATCATCCTGGCCACGGCCGGTATGGTCCGCATTAATCTAGAAGACCGCATCACTAAGCGCTTGCCTCCATCGGAATTCCCGTATGCTGTCGGTCAGGGCGCCTTGGGGATTGAAATCCGCAAGCAGGATACCCAGACAGAGACCATGGTTCGCAAAATTGAAGATCTACTTACCCGACGGATCTGTCTGGCAGAGCGCTCACTACTGCGCACTCTTCAGGGTGGCTGTTCGTCTCCGGTTGCAGTACAATGCACTGTTGAGCAGCCACCGACAGCTTCCTCGGCAGCTCGATTGCGACTAGATGGTACTATTATTCATCCCCATGGGACAACATTGCTATCCGAACGGACGACAGCGGAAGTGGGAACGGATGAGGATGCTGAGGCGCTGGGTGCTACAGTGGCTCAGCTTTTGTTAGCAAATGGCGGGCAAGCTTTGTTGGAAGAAATTCGGTTGCTACAAGAGACGATTACGACCGACGCGAAATAGTGGAGGACCTGAAAATGTACCACTAACTAATAGAATCAATCCCCACTCCATATAAATTGCTACGGCTGCTTACTTTCACGCTATCTATTACCCATGCTCTAGCTGTCAGTGGGAGGGTCCTACCTACGGAACGGTACCCTTGGAGGCTCAGAATAGCATCAATTTAAGACTATTGGGCATCGTCTTGCTCTCATGGGCCATCAAGGAGCTCATAGGCATGTCACGATAAAACTCAAATACATAGTCGATAAGTACCGGAAGAATGGCACACCAGTGGATGCATTTTCCGACTACCTTGAACACGCAACATAGGGTGTTTTGCTTAGTTCCTGACAATTTCATGACTCCGTTCCCTCAACCCTCGCAATATAACGTTTCACCCATACATCTGACATATGTATCGAGGTTTTTAGCGTTCCCAGATGCTGTCCTCGCTCTAAACCTCACTTTAGCCTCAGGACAAGATGGTACCCAGATCCAGAGGGAATATGGCAGAAACTTTTACGAGCCTTCCAATCAAGTTACTTGCGACGATTGTATCTTATCTACCCAACTGTGATATAAAGTCTTTACGCCTGACGTCCCACCTTCTGCACCAAATCGCGCACTTACGTATGAAACGTGTTTTTTTATCGGCTGACCAACGTAACCTTGATGTCTTCCGTGCGGTTGCCGACCACGAAGTCTTTCGCCGGCACATCCAAGAAATTATCTGGGATGACACGCGGCTGTTACTCCCACCCCGATTTTCGGTGCTAGACTATGGACGAAATCCACGAGAGCAAGGCTCCTGTGCAGGAGCTGAACTCTGGTACATCAATGCTTGCCGAGAAAATATTGCAGATTTGCGGAGGTACCAGGCCGACTATACGGGGTTGGCGGGCATCATAGAGCGGGCCGAGCAGGATGTTGCTTCCACGGTATGGCTGAAAGAATCTTTTGCTTTCTATAAGAAATTGAGTAGGGAACAGGAAGAGAACATCCGCACTAACGCCGACGTGGAAGCCTTTGAGTATGGGTTGAAGCAATTTCCAGCCCTGAAAAGAGTCACAGTGACACCAGTTACCCACACACGGATCTTCCATCCTCTTTACCAAACACCCATGGTCCGCACATTTCCGCCCGGGTTTAATTATCCTATCCCGTGCGGATGGCCGACACACAAGGAGAATCATCCAGCCCTTACCCCGTGGACCAATTCGAGCGAGCACGGGAAGGACAGATGGCGTGGAGTTCGGGCTGCACTACATGTGCTGGCAAGAGATAGAGAGCATCACAACGTCTCTGAGCTCGTTTTTGGTGTGAACCAACTGAACACAGGGATCAGGGGCACGATCTTGGAACAACCCTGTGAGGAGCTTTTGATCCTCTTACTTATCCTTAAGCAGCCAGGTTTCAAGCGACTTGATCTTGCTATTATATGCCCCAGTCAATATGAACGTGGATGGCCTATTTTCTGCAACGGGAATCTGAGAGACGTGTTGAAAATTGCAGCCGATCTAGAGCACTTCAGCTTCAAAGCCAATGTATCCCAGCTGCAGGCAAACTCGTCTAGGGATAATTACTTTCCGAATATTCGATTCGATACCGTTTTTCCTGTCGCCAAATGGCAGAGACTACACCACTTTGGACTCTCAGGCTTGTCAGTGCATACAACTGACATGGTCAGGCTTCTGGATCGGCTGCCACTCACCAACCGCTCAGTCGAACTGAGCTTTCTGAGTTCTTTCGGAGCCCTATATTGACAACTGGTCAATTCTGATCGAAGGAATCCGGAACCGTACACGGTGGAGATATCGAAGTACTAGTAAAAGGCCTAAGCTGGTTGTGGGTGTGGATGTACTGTGGAATAGACGGCCTGGCCTAGGAATCTGGATCGAAAGGGAAGTACACGAGTTTCTGTATGGAAATGGCCCAAATTCATTTGACGAATATGGTATTGTCAGGCCGGGCGTGGGATTTGAGCGGGACTCGTTTAACCCTGATTATGAGCGGCCTAATGTTCATCCCGAATGGTTGATTTGGCTAGATATTATGGAAAATCATGGATTATGTCAGTCTTGCAACGTCCGTAGAATTAGATAGAGTTCTACAGATTTCATAGGATGAACGAAATGATTGAATGAGTACCAATATTGCCTAGATTTCCTATAAGCCGGTAGACTGGTGATGCATTGCAGGAGAGGTTCTGGTAACTATTACCACTCCTCCTCTTAGTACTATCCCTCATTTTCTGTGGTGTTCCAACATTATAATCTCGTAATATCAACCTTTTGCAATATTCTGCAATTTTAGGCTTCTTTTTCTAGCCAAGTTAGCAGATCAGAAAAAGAAAGTGCGATGCTTTTTGCTGCCACGTCAATCCCTGCCATTAGCCACTCAGCTAAAAATCCAGCCTTGCGCGTCTCATTTTCGCCGATCTCCAACATCCATCAACCTTTCCACTCATACCAACACAATATCAAGACCACCAGTCATCGCTGAACAGAATACGCTCTGTCTGAGATACAGCAAATGAGCTTGCCAACTTCTCCTCTTCGCCATGAAGACTTCACCGTAGCTTGGATCTGCGCCTTGCCCGTGGAGATGGCAGCCGCCGAGGCCCTGCTGGACGAGCGTCTACCCGACCTGCCCGCCCAACCTCACGACAACAACACATATACTTTCGGTGTCTGTTACGGCCATCGCGTTGTTATTGCTAGTCTGCCGTCTGGGGTTTACGGGACTAATTCTGCAGCGGTCATAGCTACTGAAGTCCGCATACGTTTCCCATCTCTTCGGTTTGGACTGATGGTCGGAGTGGGCGGAGGGGTGCGTGACGCTGGAGTTCAGCTCGGGGATGTTGTCGTGAGCAAGCCCACTCGTGAATATGGAGGAGTTATACAATATGACTATGGAAAGGCGATCGATGGGGGTGAATGGGAGCACACGGGAATGTTGAACAAACCACCGACGGTTTTGCTGACCGCAATCTCTAGACTCCAGGCAGCACACTTGCAAAAGCCGAGTCAGGTTTCAGAGTTAGTCTCAAAGGTCCTTGCCATGAATCCTAGTATGGCGGCTACTTTTGGACATCCGCGATCATCAGAAGATGCGCTAAGCGAGGGAACTACGAGCCTGGAACAGCCGTGTGGAATTTACTACGGCTTGATCGCATCAGGTAACAAGGTCGTCAAGGACGGGAAGCTACGGGATAAAATTGCAAAGAAATATGGCATTCTGTGCTTTGAGATGGAAGCTGCTGGCTTGATGGATAATTTCCCATGCCTTGTTATCCGAGGAATCTGCGATTACGCTGATACGCACAAGAAGAAAGACTGGCAAGGCTATGCCTCCTTGACGGCAGCTGCCTACGCGAAAGAGCTCCTCGCTGTGATACCGAGGCATTCTGTTCTAGAGACCCCAACTGCCACGTTAAGCCTGGACTGTAAGTGCACGTGGTATATAGTCGTCGGTTTCATTGTATGGGGACTTACAAATTGCGGCACCAGGGCAGATTGGTAATGGCTCTTCGAGAAGGGAGCCATTGTCCAGTGGTTGGGTCAGCAAGTCGAGTAAGAAACTCTCGAGTAGTATGTTGCAGAAAACTTATACGTTGGCTTAGGATTCGCTTTTGATGACGATTTTCTGGCGCGTATCACACGCTACGACCACGAAAGAGTACACCAGAGGCTTTCACGGAAAAGACTTCTTGGAACTACACAATGGTTCTTAGATCACCCGGAATTTCAGGCCTGGCTTTCTAACAGGGCCTATACTTGGCTATGGTGCTCTGGTAAAAGTAAGTGCCTTCCAGATCTCCCATGCATAACATTGGTTACTTACAGTGCCACAGTCGGTTCTGGGAAATCCATTATTGCGTGAGTATCATGTTGTCTTGACTGAGGAAGGGTCTTGTACTGATGACCCAATAGAGCCACCGCAATTGAAGAAGCGCGTAGAAAACCGTTGCAACCCCATGCCCCTATCATTTTCTTTTACTGCGACGTGCAATATGATTCGGACCTATCTCAGTTGCTCTCGAGCTTCATACGTCAACTGACGGAATTTATCATCAAGAGGGCTCAGCCATTCTCGGAAAACGGCCAAAAAATGCTGCAAAGATATTTCGGAAGCGAAAGGGAAGTTCCGGATATTGATGATTTGGAGGACATATTTGCCATTTTGTCTTCTGATGTGTCAAATGCCACCTATGTAATAGATGGCCTTGATGCGTTGGAACAGGCAGACGCAAGGCGTCTCCTTACTTACTTTCGATCACTATGCCGGACCGGCTGGGATAAAGCCATAGGCCCACGGCTACTCATCTTCAGCAGAGAATATTTTGTGGGAGGCACAAGTGTCGCGACATACCTTCCGAAAGTACCTCAGATCTCCACGACTTACAATGTGTTACAAGATATACAAGTCTACATAAGAGAAAGTATTGCAGACCGAATGGTGCTTCAACCGCTTACTGAAGACAATCAGCTTATCAGGGACATGGAAAATATCTTATTGCAAGAGTCTTCGGGAATGTAAATCAAGCCCATAAAACTTATACTACGTGCAACCTTTACTGACAGAGTGCAGGTTTCTGTGGGTTTATCTACAAATCGAGATTATTTGGTACACTTGTGCCACCGAGCAAGAAATACGTGTCGCTTTAGCAACCTTACCGAAAGGTCTTGAGGAAACATACCAGCGCTGTTTGAAGAGGATAAATTGTCACGATCTTCGTGCCATCAGAACGCTTATCTGGGTTCGCTTCAGTGCACGACCGCTTCATTGTGAAGAACTGCAGGAGGCAGTGGCCTTGGACTTGAACGACAAATGTTGGGACCGGGAAAAGATTCCACGATGTGACTTTATCTTGGGTTGGTGCGCAAACCTCGTCGTCTTAGACCCTGTCGATAGCTGTGCGCGCTTCGCACACCCATCAATCTGCCAGTACCTCGACAGCAGTCTCGATGCACATTTGCTTCAATTCCCAGAGTCAGTCCGCTCAGGAAACCAAATATGTGGACGTCTTTGCATCACGTATCTTTCGTTCTCTGATTTCCACCTTCATCTTTCCAAGACAACAAAGTCTGTGGAATGGAATGTGCGTGGCAAGGACTTGCTTCCGAAGCATGTCCCAGGCTTTCGGCTTATAAAAAGTCTTTTGCCATCGAGGCTAAAGCATCATTTATCTGTCTCGCTACCTTCACCCCCCGTACGTACTGTGCCATCGCCGTCTTTGGCGCGCTTTCGGTTTCTGTTCTATGCACGAAGTCATTGGACCACTCATACCAAGCATTTCTCGGAGGAAGATCCTCTGTGGGACATGTTCAAGCTCTTGGCACTGACATCTAATGAAAGTTGGGGTTTTCATCCATGGAGAGCAGATGCTCGGTCTCAGTTTTCGCACTTGCAAGCCATGTTTGGATGGGCAGTCAGGGAACACCACTTGCCACTTTTCAGACTTACAATGCAATTTCCAGACCACATACGACGCATTTGTGATTTACCGCTTAGTGGGGAGCTGCTTCCGGCCTTACACTATGCTTGTAAACAGGGATATTCTGATGTGGTCTCCCAGCTACTGCCCTTCTGTGACATCAACAGAGCGGATCTGCAAGACTTCACCCCATTGCACTACGCTGTGGAAAGGGGCCATGCTAATATAGTGGAAACTCTCTTATGTCAGAAAAGGCTTAAAGCGCATAGAGATTCTCACGTCAAAGGAGAACTGCTTCTGTTGGCTTCTAGGAAAGGCCATACAGAAGCGGTCAAAATCCTCTTAAAGAAAGGTGCAGACCTGGAAGCCAGAAATTCAAAGTCACAAACCAGCCTGATAGTGGCTGCCGCATCTGGTCATATACTCACGGTAAAGCTTCTTGTTGAAGAAGGAGCCGATATGGAAGCCATCGATCATGAAGGGGATACTGCTCGCCTCTATGCTCTTCAGGACCGTCACATGGAAGTAGTCAATTTCTTTCTTGACATTGACCTGGCAAGCGATCGATGCAAAATGGAATCCGTGCTACTTTCAGCAGTTGAGGATGACGATCCTGAGTTGGTCACTCTTCTAGTTAATAAGGGGGTCAACCCGAACTCAAGTTGCAAGACGGGCATCGGTCGGGATGATTGTACAATTCTCACTTGGGCCGCCAAGAAGGGATACAAAGATTTGGTGCAACAGCTTATTCACTACGGTGCGGACGTCAATTTGCAGGATAATGAACGTTGGACTGCACTTGCTCAGGCTGCAAAATATGGTCATGACTCCGTCGTCAGACTACTGATGGAGCATAACTCCTACATTGATTTTCCTAACGACTACTTTACGCCCCTTCAAGTTGCTGTAGTCAACGGGAATAATAACATGGTGGAAAGTCTCATTCAGCATGGCGCAGATGTTAATCTCCCTTACGAACAGTTTACGCCCCTTCAACTTGCTGCAGCGAATGGGAGAAAGAGCACAGTCAGAATTCTCCTTCAGCATGGAGCGAGTGTCACACATTCAAGTCTGGCACCCGATTCACTTGAGACCAGATATCATCTAGGGGATTATGTGTTGCAGCAGCTGAGCCCAGGAGGGGGCTCTCCAACGGATATTCGAGGCTCTGAAGGTCGCGCACATTTGAGGAGGGCCGTAGAGATAAGTCTTATGGCTAGAGTCAATAACGAAAAGCCGCGACTAGTCGCGCGGCGTCCTTTCAGTAGACGAATATGATCATTACGAGTTAGTCCCGACTTTTGGGGCTATGAAGCCGGTCGAAACGCATGCGAGACTGATGGTGCAAAATGCTGTTGCCTTGGCCGTCGGCATGGTCATTCTACTATTTCACGGCTTCTATGTGCCAGCTCTGCTTATTGAAGAAGTCCATAGCAATTTCGGAATTGCTATCACACACAGAACCTAGCTGTGTCAATTGAAATGTTTGCTCAAAGAGGTGCTCTGCTGTTCTATTTTGTTCCGTGAGGCTATTTTGATGTATACTACAACATTCCCTGCTTGAAATAGACAGCGCCCAGGAATGAGTTATCAATCTTGTAAATCATTCGTTCTATTGTATAACACATTGCTGGGCGAACGGGCACGCCAGGAATAATATAGAGCGGCCTGGTTATTTGGGTGGGAAACTGGGTTTGAAAGATCGAATGATAGCATAAAGCAGGAATTTCAAGAAGCGGAACCCAGATAAGCCTCCAAGAACACCGGAATTCAGCCTGCAGTGAACAGACTTTTAAGATTTGTAGTAGATCTTGAAATCGTGCGAGAACCCCATTCAAAACCGGTTCACGGTCGTCTATTTTTGAATCCTACCCTTAACACAACAGTTGAGAAACCAGAAACCTGGTATCTGCGAGCGTGCGTGTGGGATTTTCCAATCGAGGACCAGTTCAAGCTTCAGAAGTTTTCAGCTTCATTTACAAGGCTGCAACAACAATCCTGCGCCTGCAAGGCTGAGTGCTCCTGGAGGTGTTATCTCATCCTCTGAAACCCTCTAATGCATGAATGAGGTCTAATCGCAGCGCTTATGCAAGTCGCCAGAACTGTCATTTGGCTTGCGCAGGGGTTGAAAGCCAACGGCACGAGGCTAACGACGCTCCTAATACACCTTCGCTGCGCCGCATTGCTTCCTTAGCGTGCTTTTTTCATTGCGTTATCTCAGAGAAATTGTCCGGTGGAAAGAGTCGGTGAAAGGCAGATACTATGCCTCTGTCTGGAACAATCTCATGATAGGGTTATAATATTCAACTTGCTGTATTTCTCACTAGAGGTGGGAGTGAAAATTACTAGGGGTATTCACCTGCGGAGAGTGAACCGCGCGGTGAGGAAGCTTGCTACCGCGTATTCTATCTATCGAAAGGTATCTCTGATTGCGAATTTCCACCTCAACACAACAGGGATCCTGGCTTCTGCTTTTTCAACTGAGCTCAAATTCAGTTCTGCCTGTCGTCGTGCTTGATTCAGCCTCGCCGAAAGCCTTATTTCACCCCCACTGCCTTGGAAGTTGTGGGACACCCTCATTGTAATATCTTCCTTCTTTGCCTTCAAATCAGCTTTACAATAATATCCTGCCTTGTTTAAATATCTTCAAGCGGGTCTCTTCATCCTCTGTTACTATCACACTCATGCCGACCTTCTCGCGCAAACCTAGAAAGCCCAGAGCACGCATCAAGACTGGCGGTATGTGGAACGATGAAGAGAGACAGCGCTTCTGGGATCAGCGAACAATGTACAGTCACATGCCCTGGAAGGAATTTCGCAAGGTGTGCATAGATTGTTCCTTCCCCTTTATTTATCATTGACTCCCTCTACCCACGGTGGCATACTTACACTCTACGCAGCAGTTCTTCCCCCATAGAAGCCAAAACGCCCTAGAGAAGGCCTATTCCGTATGTCTTATTTGCCCCTACTGCCAGGATTTGTCTGACTTCATAATAGATTATGAGTATACAAAGAAGACGAGAAGCCAACATTGTAAGTTTAGCCTAGTCCACCTCTATATTGATAGCTGCCATACTGATCTCAAAGTCAAACCCTGATACCCCTCGGGATCCTCCTCCAGCCCGCATTGTAACGCTACGAACTAGAACCAATAAGCGTTCACTGCCCGACGAAATGGCGCCTGGGAACCGCCCAGAGAAGCAGACCAGAACAGCTGCGGTCCTTTCGTCGGGAAAGGACCAAGTGGAAGAAACGGATCAAAATAATATGACAGACGAGGATACCTCTTCGGACTACGAACAAGACTCAGATGAAGAGACACTTCAGGGGCCCAGTCTACCGTGTGAAAGAGAAGGTCTAGATGGGATCGAGACGATCATTATTGATGATACGAACAATGCTCCTGTAAGCCGCCAAAGCGGCGAAGAAGAAGCAGGGGTAGGCAGACCTGATGCCCAGGGAGATACTGATATGCCTGACTCTCGCCCTAACGGAAGTGTAAGATACACGTGATCACAAGCCTTGCGTTGAACTTACTGACACATTCCAGACGGGCGTGTCCAGCAATAAAACCCCTCCTGCAGGACCCATGCCTGGACGAACAAGCATGACACCAAGTTCAAGAAGTGGAGAAAATCAAAAAGGCCACCAGAGAAGTACAAAAGAGGCGACTGAGCCTACTAGGCCTTCCCTTCCATCGGACGTGCAATATCTCAAAAACCTCATATGGAGGTTCGAAACTACATTTTTCAAAAACCATGATCAGGAGAAAGTTATCGCCTCGCTGCAATGCCAGGTTGAAGATCTCAAGAAGATCAATTCAGATAAGACCGCCAAGCTGCAGTCCGCACAAGAGGAGAGTAGGAGACATACCCAGGCTATCAAATCCCTTGAACAACGTGAGCAGAAGTATAAAAAGGAGATTTATGACTTGAAAAACAAGCTCGTACTTTCTGACCAGCGAGCTACAATATTCGAGCGCAAGGTAGCTGTGGCTCGGAGCATGAACAAATGTGAAACATGTGAGAGGGTCAACAAGATGACCGCAACCAAGGCCGCTGAGTCTTCCAGTGAGTCAATTCTATGATCATATCCAGTTTGGATGTTTCGATATATATTCGGGTCTTTTATTTTTCTTTTCTTTTCTCACATCACTATGAATCTGTATCCATGCATGGCCTCACCTCTTACTTTAGCATTCACACGAAGTTTTAGCATTTGATATATAGGTCTAATATAGAATATTACCACGTCCCCCTTTCCCTACGATCATGCCAGGAGACTCCTGGCTGTTGGTAGCTCTGTAATCCAAATTTGCGCGACAATTTCTCCCTATACTCGAGAAATTCTCTGTCAAGATCCGATGAGTTCCACTATGCCTACAGGGGCCCAGAACGCCCAGTGATAGTATTTCTACATTAGTGCAGCCACTGCCAGTCGTGGACTCTTAACACATCCCCTGTGATCCCCTGACATTCTCCCTCTACCTACAGCCATTTATTCAGGTTCCAATACTTATCAACTTTTAGTACAACATCGACAAAGTCCCATACCGAACTAGAACTATGTGTAACTCATTCACAAAGCGGAATGCTCGAGAAGATATCCAAAAACAATTGCGCCTGCTCTGACTCTTCGTGCCGACTACATTGGTTGAGAAACTCCTCTGTTGGGAGCTTGATATGTTGGAAAATAAATTCGGTAGTCAATGTGTCTAACGGGTTACTTGTATCCTCCTGTGGCTGATTGACTACAGGTATTTTAGTACGCAATAGTCTTCATAAGGTGTTCAAAGGGAAGGTTAGCATACCCAGGGCGTCGAACACCACAGATAACCTTTGAATACAGTAATCCGCCTTTTGATTCACAATGCTTCCTCTACTGATATTTCTCATGGTGGAGAGACATGCTTCTATTTCCTGGCGGATCTGGGTTGGCGTCGGCTCCGATTCTAAGGGGTATTGCTGGCGAACGAGGAATAGTGCTAGGCAGTGGAGGATGGCTGTGAATACTGGAGACATGTTAACACGTAGTCTTATGAGGTGGGCTTTCTTCGGAAAACACAAACTTGTGTAGTTGCATGTATACCATGATGCATACAGGTCTATAAAACCCTGTAGGGTGGAAATATGGGATATCAAACGCTGCACTTCTTGTATTGCCAGCCAGTCATCCTGGAGGATCTGGGAGCAACCGCGCTGAATAATTTTCCGAGTACGGTTTCCAAGTAATTTTATTGAGTAGGGCTCTAAGAGTTTCATCGTTAGAGGAAAGTTCATGGTCAATTCCAGCCTATGGCATTGTATGCATAGAAGTACTCGTACGGCCCAGCGAGCATCTAGGACCACTGATTGTTCTAGGGACTCTTCACTCGGGAGCAGGGAAATGCACTCAGGAAGACTGTCAGCCCATTGTTCGAGGTGGAAGTGTAGGTTGTCACGCTTGTCAATGATTGTCTGTATATTGAGAGGATGGCCCGAGTCCAAATTTTGATCATACAATCTTTCGATTATACCATCCAGGATTGTGTTAGAGGTTCTTCATGAAGTAGTAAGCATGTGTAACTTTATATCCTTTGGGGTTAACCGACGTCATCTGAAACAGATAAAGGGAACTTATATCTCCCAGTATTGCGGGCTGTTTCAATTCACAAGTCTTTTCAATGGAGTAAGGTATAAGAAATGGTCTCCCTTGGGTCAACCCCATAATCCTACTAAGGTCAGATCCGCCATTTGGCTGAATATGGTAGTTATAAGTGTGAATACGAAAAAAGATTCCCTTATCCTGAAAGAACAAAAGGTAAGATCAACCTACATATCATTGTTCAAAACCCCTAGCCACAACCTTTGATGCAAGCTGCCAAGTGTATATCCATCAGCACTCCGAACAGAGGCACAACGAAAGCCTATCTGCAATGACGCTCTAACACAGTTTGTATGGGTTGTATAACTCAATGTAGACCTCTGATGGTTCTGCTCGTAAAGAGACTTTAACAGTAATGTCTGGACTGCATTATCGTCAACTGAGGTGAAACGTTGAGAAGCATAATGATGGCTTACCTAGCTCTAAAGTTGGTCTCTCCAGTGTTCGCTGGTCGAGAAGACCTGCGCAATGGCTGTAGAATACCTCTGCCTCCGGAAGCTGTAAGGACGCAGATGCATGTGCCCAAACCACATTCAGAAGAGCCAAAAAGACCCTTTGGAACCTTGGGGGCCTTTCAAGAAGCGCTTTCTCATAGGTTTTTAACAAAGCCTCACAGTTGACATATGGAAGAATGGCACCGATTGTTGTTGAAAAGCGACTAATAAGATACAGTACATCATCCCTAGACGGGAGGGCGTGTATATCTTCCAGAGGTATTGAGAATTGCTTTATTAATGATGGTTCCTTTCTAATCGACTTCGTTTTCCCTTCTGTTATGCTGCAGCTTTGAATAGCGGTAGATGTATGACTGCTTAGCGTGAGGTGCAGGAGAGCGCTTTCAGCGAATGCGTTTGAGATAAGCCTAAACATGGCGTAGTTTGAACTAGACCCTACCTCAGACAATTAGGTTGGCCAGCTGTCACGCTCGAAGGCTACCTACCAAAGTAGACATGGCCAAGAGACGTCTCAGAGAATGCATGTGTGGCAAGCTCATCAACACTAGTAATTTCGCTCACTGTTTTCCCTACTGACGAACCTGGTGAATGTGTTTGCGATCCAGTTCCATGACCGACTTTATCCTCCAGCATCTCAATCCGGCGAGCTAAGTCCTGCTTGTCTCTAGATAACCAAAATCAGCATCCTTCTTTATCCAGGATCTTATGCAGCTTGACCTCTTAGCCTTTGGGCGTCGGATACCAGACTCTGTAGGCTGCTGATACCTGCATTCTCTCCTCCTATGCTGACATCGTGCACACACCGGCCTTGTTCCCTCACACTATTGATGTCAGTGCTGTGTAATCGAAGTTAGCTGTCTCAGTGTGGATGCACTAGTAAATACCTTTAGCTTCCTGTATCGGCATTCCGAACAGGCAACCTCAGTTCGTCGCCTGCGATGTGGGCGACCTGACATGGTAGCAGTTTTCCCGGACGATTGCATTCAGATTCTCATCTCAACAATAGTTTAGTGTCCTGTATAATGCGGGGAAACTCGCCACCCGGTCTCGTTCACCTCCTCTGGACCAATCGGATTCGCGCTTCCCGAGCGTAGCCGAAGGTATCCCCATCGGGCTGTAAGACATGGAAACGTATCACAATGATTCATTTCTGCCAATGGAAAGAGCAAATCGGTTAGATGATCTCGGTTAATTATAGGTATTCATGTTGAATGACACTGCTTAGATGTCGGATGGACAAATAATATATAAAGCCAGCAGAAATAAAACATGGTGAACCAAACCATCGCGACAACTTCTCTACAATTAATCTGAAATACAATAAACCGTCCAAGCAAACCACACATTTTGAAAATGACCATCCTCATACACACCCTTACATCTACTCCCATGACCAGCGCTGGTATCTTCCTAGCGCTCACTCTCACTATTTACTCTATCTACCAACGATACCTACACCCCCTTGCTAAATACCCCGGTCCATTCCTAGCATGCCTAACCGACCTCTGGCAGGTCTACCAATTTCTGACCCTCAAGCAACCATACAACCTAACAGAGCTCCATGCAAAGTATGGGCCAATTGTCCGGTATGGGCCAGACAAACTCAGCATCACCCACGAAGGCGCAGTCCAAGCAATCTACCAGAAGGGTGGAAGAGGAATGCCAAAGACGGAATTCTACGATGCATACGGCGCAGCTCATCCGAATGTATTCGGTATGCGAAATGAAGAAGTGAGTCTGGCTCACGCTTTACTATAACAATTGCCCCAAGAAATTTCTAAACGTGATTAGCAACACTCCATCCGTAGACGCCACATGTTTCACGGTTTCTCGATGAGCTATGTGAAAGAGATGGAACAATACCTGGACATGAATATCCGAATACTAAGAGATAAGATCAGAGAGCATAGTGCTCAGAATAGGACATTCGACCTGAAAAAGGCCCTGCATTATTACGTGATCGACGTCCTTGGTGAGCTGGCCTTCAGTCAATCATTCGGGGTCCAGGAGACGGACGAGGAGACGGACGAGGAGACGGACGAGGAGACGGACGATGAGACGGACGATGAGACGCGAGTTCCGCCAGTCATTGAACATAGTCTGCTTGCGGCTGTTACTGGTGCCTGGCCTGCTATGACAGCAACACTAAAGAAGTATCTTCCACTTGTTCCCTACAAGCCCCTTCAACAGCTCTTTGCTGGCCGCAAAGCTTGTGCGGATCTCGCGTCGGAGTGTGTTCGACGCAGGTTGAAGGATTTTGGTGCAGACAGAATGTCTAAAAGCGACGATAGGAAGGACATTCTTACAAATCTGATCTTGGCTAAGCATCCTGATACTGGTGAGCATCTTACACAGACGGATCTCGAGACTGAGGCTTTTGGGTTTATGTACGCCTCCATTCCGTTATTCTTCCTAGTCCATATCATGCGTTGGTCATTAGTTGCTAAATACTATTACAGTATTGCAGGAACACACACTACGAGTGCCACGACAACTCTGTTGTTTTACCACCTGCTTCATAACCCCCAGTATATGGAGGAGTGCGTAAAGGAGATCGAGGCCAACCTGCCTCCCCTTACACACGGAGAGACAGCCTATTCTGTATCCGCAGCAGAGGCTGCCCTAACGTTCTTGCGCAACTGCATAAGGGAGAATTTCCGGATTACGCCGGTCTTCACGATGCCTCTAGCTCGGAGGGTGAAGAATTCAACGGGTGTTATAATAGACGGACAGCATATACCACAAGGGGTAAGCCACCTTACAGACTACGACTTCCATGCAGACTATAACGCTAATGAGTACGCAATAATTGCAGACATCAATCGCTGTCTGCAACCATGCATTCCATCACAATCCTGACGTCTGGGGTGACGATCACAACATCTTCAATCCTTTTCGATGGGAGAAGCCTGAGATTGCCGCCAAGGCACGGCTGTTAATGCATTTTGGCTTGGGTGGACGTCAATGTATTGGGAAGACCATCGCAATGACGAATATTTATAAGCTGATGAGCACATTGTTGAGGGAGTTTACTTTTGAACTTGCTGACACGCAGGCTCAGGAGAAGTGCCTATCAAGCGGGAACATTCCAGAATTGATTAGTGTTGGAATTAGCGATCTAAAGGAGCCCTTGATGGTCAGAGCGCATGTGCGGGTGCATGAGAAAGTTTAGCGAGAGCATGATTATGAAATCCCCGGGCCCATAATTCCTCACAACCAATAATCAATGTCCCGCAGATGCTGTAGATGGACTTACTTGCTGGGACACACGTCGAGCACAATTGCAATCCACTGTGGCGTTCTGCTAGACTCCTACTGAATACTTTCGTAAATATTCTCTAAGAGTACTATGTGTTAAGTCTTCATCGGGTGAGGATGGCAACCGTACGTCGGAATTTCCGAGGAATACGAGGGCGGATGGCCTAGTGCATTGGCGCAATAAAAACCGCGGTCTGATACCTGCTTAGACAGTTAGTACCACGCATAGCTACCCAGTATCATGGCAAATCAGACGTGAGCTTGCCGTAGGGTCCGGGGGTCGGCAGTTCGCTGCGGGGAAATTAGCTTGGCGGGTGTGAAGATCCGGGGTACAGGTCGGCTAAATATTTAGGCCCTTTTCTATATTAAGTGAGTTGGTTTGGGGCTCAGACAGGGGTTCATAATGTCCTTAACTCGGGTGTATCCTCTTGACCGATTTTCATTCACAGCATAGCAAGATGGAAAAGCCCGGCGTTCAGCATGTTGAGAATGAAAATGGTGATGAGAACCTCGCCGTCAAAAGAAGGGATGGCCATGATTTAGAGGCGTCCAATGCGTCTCATGGTAAAGATACTGAAGAAAATGACTCAGATGCTTTGACGGAAGATCATTGTCAATATTTAATTCAGAGATATGGAACGGTAGAACTGGATCCTATCCCGGACATGACTGACGCTGATCCCTACAATTGGCCGACATGGAAGGTAAGTTCTCTCTTATGCCATGAAAAATTCGAGGAATTGTCATTGATAGGCCTTCGGTGTAGAAAGTCATCAATTTAGCTCTAGTTGCGTTCCACGCTATGATGGCAACTTTTTCGGCGTCTTCAATCCAATCCGCCTTCGTTGAGATAGCAGAGGACCTTGGTGTCAGCGTACAAAAAGCAAGCTACTTAACTTCCCTAGTCATTGCCATTCTCGGGGGTGCGCCTCTTTTCTGGATGCCATTGTCCAACCGCTATGGTCGACGTCCTATATTCCTGCTTTCGCTGCTCTGCAGTCTGGTTGCTAATGTGGGCTGCGCTAAAAGTCCGTCATATGCGACTATGGGATTTTGCCGGGCCCTTGTTGCCTTTTTTATAAGTCCTGCCGCTGCTATTGGTAGTGCTGTCGTCGCCGAGACCTTTTTCAAGAAAGACCGCGCAAGATGTATGGGCGTGTGGGCCGTCATGGTAACTTTGGGTGTGCCGCTTGCACCTCTGCTTTTTGGGTTCGTTACCAGTCGTGTGGGATACCGGTGGATCTACTGGATATTGGCTATCGTGAGTATGAACATCATCAGAATATATGAGGGATGCTAACCACACCAGACCAACGGCGTTCAATTCATCACATATCTGATCTTCGGCCAAGAAACTCTATACATCCGTGGTAGCGCTGCTAGTCACGTCCGTAACCCAACACTTCGGCAACGATTCCTTAATGTGAAGCGTATTGATCCAACGCCATTGGAAATATGGGACTTTCTACGCCCCCTCACCATGGCAACACGGCCCTGTGTTATGATTCCGGCCGCCGCTTATGCGATGATATTCCTCCTCGGTGGTATCCTCCCATCAATTGAGATGCCGCAACTCTACCCCCAGATGTTCGGACTTGACTCGGAGCAGGTGGGCCTGCAGTTTATTGCGATGATTATCGGTTCTCTGCTTGGCGATCAGGTCGGAGGATTCTTATCCGACCGTTGGATGCTGTACGGGCGGAAGAAAACGCAGCGGGCCGTTGCACCGGAATTCAGACTCTGGATAAGCTATCCAGGTATTGTTCTGACGATAGTTGGCATTGTTATCTTCCTTGTCCAGCTAGATCATGCTTCATCGCAGTGGAATATCACTCCGTTGGTTGGGGTCACCATTGGGTCTATTGGAAACCAAATCGTCACTACCGTCAGCTTCACGTATGCCGTGGATTGTTATCGATCAGAAGCAGCAAGCGTTGGTGTTTTTATCACGTTGGTGCGACAGACGTGGGGATTCATAGGACCCTTCTGGTAAGTCTTCTGTGTTTTGGAGGTGTGAGTATACTGACAGTAGTCCAGGTTTCCGCAAATGTTGGAGAATGTTGGGTATCTAGGGAGTACGGGGATTGCGATTGCCTTGATCGTAGCTGTTAGTGCCATTCCAATGGCACTGTTGCATTGGAAGGGCAAGAATTGGAGGTAGAAAAACGTGATAGCAAATGACTTTTCTCATCGCACATCCCGCTACTTTTTTATTCAGCCTCATATTCCTCTCGGTTCACTTGATGGCAACTGCTAATCGTCCTGAGTGATACAAGACTTGGAAAAATGTGATTCAAATCGATGTGAGATACATGCTACTATAAGCCTGGGGGAAGAGGCGAGGGCCTTATGGCTTGCAAGCACCGGGAATGTTTGATATCCAAGCCGTATGACCATTGCCAGTGGGCCCCTTTTGAAACCGGTACCTAAATTGGATCATCTGTAGCTAGTAGTTAGAAACTCTCCTCTCATGCCTATTTTGAAGGATCATCAAACCTTTATGATAAACTCTATCTTGCATACTAAGCATACTATCTTAAGACCTAGTGTCGATAGTTGTTCCTAGGCGTTTATGAAGAGAGCACTGATTGTCGGAGAATCATTAACGCGAGTTCACCCCAATCATGCCGCTAGTAGGCTTTGTTAATGGCTGTTAATTGAGATTCTCGTAATAGTATTCTGGGCCTGGATGGTGGGCCCAGGTGGCGTTCTTATTGAAGCAAATGGCGCTAACATATTCACGAAGATATCTTGACAATCCACAACTTTTCACTTGAACTATACAAATGCTCCTGCACAACTAACTTCAGGAGTCTATACTAAATGATACCTTGATACTATAGTAGTAGCATATAAGTTCCCCCGAAGCTCCATTGTGTTGCTATAGTTGTCTCGTAACATCTTCGAATCCCTAGTATTATGACTACTTGACTGATAGGTAAGTATATATGCTTGTAGGGTCTATGTAAGTTGTACTACCTTCCATCATTGGTGTTACTCGCTTATTCTCCACGCAATCCATTGGCAGGGAATTGATAGCTATCCTTGGGTTCCACAAGACTAAGCCATGATCGCTTCGTTTGCTCATAAATGGAGAAAGCCGTGAATTGACTGAGCTGTTACCCTGTTTGCTCCTCTCTTTTGCAACCTCTCAAAAAGGCCCCGCTCCCTGGTCTCCCTTTTTCTATATCTCCTGTTCGCCTCTTCCGTTTTCCTTCCTTCTCCACACTCTTTGCTTTGTATCACGGCTCTGGTGGTAATTCTTTGCAGACAACTAGGCTAAAGAATCCCACGCAACGTGCCATCGATAGGTAAGTGCCATATTCTTTTCTTGCAAAAGATCTTCTCATCAACTTTGTTCCTTCTTGCTGGCTCATCTATGTTGTATATCGAACGCGTCCACGCGTTGTTATCGTGTGGATTGAACTGCAAGCTGACTGACAACCCCAGTGCACCGATACCCATCTAGCTTCCATCAACCACAGACTCTGCTCTCAAGATGGCTGGCTGGACGCTCGAAGGGGATGGAGATGACAATGGCACCTGGGGTGGTGGCAATGACGCTGGTACGTGTCCTCTTGGAAACGGGTCCCTTTCCCCAAGGATAGCATGTGCTCAATCATGTTCCACCAAATCATGAAATTTCACGAAATTAAGAGATAATACAGGCTTCAGTAATGATGAGAACGCTAGGCCTGGTGGCTTCGGCACTGAACCCGGATACGGTGGTGATGACTTTGCTCCTGCGGCTGAAGGCCATGGCGATGATAATCGGTGCCGGAAGTAAGTAGCTTCCTACAGATCCTCACTGTCGCTAACAGAGGATAGCTGTGGAAGTGACGGTCACTTTGCTCGCAACTGTCCCGAAACGCGTAAGGACATGGCATGCTTCAATTGCGGCGAGGACGGGTATGATAATCCATGTGCCTTTCCAATACATTTCTTTCTCTGACATGAGTTAGACATAACAAGTCTGAGTGCACTAAGCCTCGTATTTTCAAGGGTGCTTGCCGTATCTGCAACAAGGAAGGGCATCCAGCCGCTGAATGCCCTGAGAAGGCTCCCGACGTGTGCAAGAATTGCAAGATGGAAGGCATGGCATACCGCATGCTCTAATAGGATGCATGTGCTAACAGCTCGTGAAGGTCACAAGACTATGGACTGCAAGGAAAACCGTCGTTTTAATCTAAATCACATTCCTGACAAGCTCCCCGAGGAGGCTTGGGCCATTCTGAAGAAAGCCAGTGACGAAAGAGATCTCGAAGATTTCCGTGAGGTAGGAAGCACGCATTTCGGATGCGACCGTGTGTTCGTTCACAGGTACTAACGTTGCACAGGGACTTAAGGTGTACTCCAAGTCTCTTCCGCAGGCCACTTTCGTTGATATTGAAAACAAATTGCGTGAAGAGGACCTTAACTTCTACCTTATTGCACTGGTAAGTCAGGACATTCGTCTTCTCTGCACGCTGAAGCACTAAGAAGGACGCACGCTGACTCTATGGCACCCTCTAGGACAAGGAGGTTAACGATTGTATCAGCCTCATTGATCTTCAGGGGAAGCTGAACTGCACATACGTGGTCGGCTTTTTCTATAGCCCTAAGCCGCAACGCGCCAACCTCAGAGAACGCTGGCCGTCTTCCGTCGAGGACAATCTTGAACGTCTTGCTGACGCCGGTCTGCCTTACGATCGACAGGTCCCCAAGTGCAACAACTGCGGCGGTACGCTACAAACTGTGGCTTCATCTGTCTCTATATGCTAACGGTTGGCAGCATTGGGTCACACCTCTCGTGGCTGTAAGGAGGAGCGAGAGGAACGTGAACGTGTCGGCGTCAAATGCGTCAACTGCAGTGCTGATGGACATCGTGCTCGCGATTGCCCTGAGCCACGTCGCAATGTTTTTGCTTGTCGTAACTGCGGGTAAGCTCACTTTACAAGACTTGAGAGTGCTCTACTGACGATGGCAAGCTCGGAGGACCACAAGGCATCAGAATGCCCCAACCCTCGCTCTGCAGAGAACGTTGAATGCAAGCGATGCAACGAGAGTAAATCTCCAACATATCAGTTCCTCGTTTACTATATACTGACCGTATAATCTAGTGGGACATTTCGCGAAGGATTGTCCTCAGAAACCACCTCCCAGAACCTGCCGCAACTGCGGGTAAGTTTGAAAGAGCTATTCCCCTGGTTCATCCACATCTCCTAACGAAGCAGATCCGAGGATCACGTTGCGAAAGAATGTGACAAGCCGCGCGATGTCTCTACTGTTACCTGCCGTAACTGTGATGAGGGTAAATCCCGAAGACATTACCCCAGACCTCTACCGTCCAGACTGCTTATGCTCATTTACAGTCGGACACTTCAGTCGTGACTGCCCCAAGAAGCGAGACTATTCTCGCGTCAAGTGCAACAACTGTGGTGAAAGTAAGAGCTATCCCCAAATAAATAATCTACACAGCACGCTCTAACATAAATCTACCCGTCTATAGTGGGCCATACCATCAAGCGTTGCCCTACCGCCAATGCCACCGAGGACGCCCCTCACGGCGACAGCCATAGCTTCAACGCGCCTGTCAACGACGAGTGGAATGAAACCGGAGGAACTCAATGGAACGACAACGGCGGAACTCAACAGGAAAGCGCCCCGGCCGAGGAAGGTGAATGGAATCTTGGTTCCGCTCCTGGTTGGTAGAAGAAGGATACGGAAAGCAAAGGCGACCAACGCATGGTGCATAGGACGTCGGTCACAATCGTCTGGAACGATGTCTGACACCTTTGCACGCGTGTTACTCAGTCGCTTCCATGCTTACCTCTCTTCTAGGACAGCAACCAGTTGGCCTTCTATGGTGGGTGATACTTGTTGAGGGTCGAGCTTTAATGTGTGTTCATACCGGCTGGTTCGGGTAATCTCCCCTCGCTATTTTCTTTTCTTTACATGCAGAATTCTCTCGGAAGACGGAACCGTCCCTGCTTGTCTTTGCTTGATGAGCGGAGGGATCTGTCAGGCCGTTTGACCTGTAGGGTAGTTTGAGAAATTTGAATCAAAATACGTTGTTGCTTCCTTAGTGTGCTTTGAACTTAGGTTAGATACAAATCATCTTATTAGAATCTGAAGCTAAGTTTCCCATCATACATACACAACATTCACAATAACTCATATCCATAATAAACCTCACATCAAACATTGAACAATAGTCCCGAAATAGTAAAACCAACTGCCCACAAAGGATACGATTACACATTAAATATCCCCACCACCAACCACCTTACCTTCTAACCCTCCTCCACCACATTACAACCCTCTCCCAAACCCCCACTCTCCACCTCCACCTCCTACCCCAAAAGACATAATAAACCAACACAGCAACCCCCAAATTAAACCCCACAAAAGCCCACCCGTCGCCGAAATCCATCCACCTCCGATCAAACCGATACTCCCTCTCCGCGAGGAACTGATCTGCAACCGAGTACGGACAATACGCACAACTCGTCATCGCATCAGGATTCATCAACCGCCCCGACACCGTCTTCAGATAATCACCCAGATACTCAACACAAGTCTGTCCTGAAGGCGGATCAAACACCGCCAACTCAGCACTGCTGCAGTTAACCGCCACGCCATGGAGCTGGGTAGAAGTTACGCCGGCGACGAAGTAGGTGAATGGGGAGACGCGGTACATGAACATCCAGAAGCCGGGGAGAGCGTGGGGTGTTTGCATGACGCCGTTGAAGGTGAGGGCCATGAATGTGCAGATTCCTGTTTTGAGGGTTGAGGTGGAGATGGTGAGGAGGGCAAAGGAGATGGCGTAGAGGAAGAATTGGATGAAGAAGAGAAGGACGAGGCCTTGGCGGGGTGATGGTTGGGTGGTCGTGTTTGAGATGGGGTAGTAGTAGATTGCCCAGATGCAGATGCTGAGGGGGGTTTGGTACAGGAGTTCGGTGAGGATGAGGGATAGGATGAGGATTTTGCTGGAGTAGGTTCTGGTGAGGCGTT